GTGTCGTGGTAGAAAAACTTTTACAACGCGATCTTCGACAATTTTCTATAATTTAATTTAATCGTAATTCCCCTCTAAAATTTTTCTAGAATATCTTTATCTCAATGTATCATCGTAGAAAAACTTTTACAACGCGATCTTCGACAATTTTCTATGATTTAATTTAATCGTCTTTCCTCTAAAATTTTTCTAGAATATCTTTATCTCAATGTGTCGTGGTAGAAAAACTTTTACAACGCGATCTTCGACAATTTTCTATAATTTAATTTAATCCTAACTCTTCTCTATAATTTTTCTAGAATATCTTTATTTTCTAGAATATCTCAATGTGTCATCGTAGAAAATTGTATGCGAAAAATTTTTGTAGTGACGATCGATCGTACGCGATCTTCGATAATTTTCTATAATTTAATTTAATCGTAATTCCCCTCTAAAATTTTTCTAGAATATCTTTATCTTAATGTCGTAGAAAAACTTTTGCGGAATACGCTAGTGTACTCGAAAATTTCCAATTTTCTATGATTTAATTTAATCTTTCCTCTAAAATTTTGCTAGAATATCTTTATCTCAATGTATCATCGTAGAAAAACTTTTACAGCGATCTTCGACAATTTTCTATAATTTAATTTAATCGTAACTCTTCTCTAAAATTTTGCTAGAATATTTTTAATTCAATATGTCGTCGTAGAAAATTGTATACGAAAAATTTTTGTAGAGACGATCGATCGTACGCGATCTTCGACAATTTTTTATAATTTAATCATAATTCCGTCCTATAATTTTTCTAGAATATTTTTATCTCAATGTGTCGTGATAGAAAAATTTTTGCAGAGAATTTTTGAGTAGACTAATATATACTTTGAAAGCACTCGAAAATTTCTAATTTTCTATAATTTAATTTAATCGTAACTTTCTTCTAAAATTTTTCTAGAATATCTTTATCTCAATGTGTCGTCATAAACTTTTACAACGCGATCTTCGACAATTTTCTATAATTTAATCATAATTCCGTCCTATAATTTTTCTAAAATATCTTTATCTCAATGTGTCGTGGTAGAAAAATTTTTGCAGAGAATTTTTGAGTAGACTAATATATACTC